TCTTTCTTTTTCATATTTGTATTCCCAGTTCTTAATAGTGTCTGGCACAGAGTAGGTACTTAATGAATATTAATAAGAAAATATACCTCCCTCCCTCTATTAGGGAGTATAAGGGTAAGGAGACTGGATATGCAATGCTTTATATAATTCCATGACTGACAATACTGATTCATTTTATTTTGCTGAAACGCTCCCTTACTCCAACTCCCCTTTCATTTTTATTCTGTTACATGGAAATAGATTATCTCCCAATGTAAAAGAAGAGGGATATCTGAAGAAACTTTAACGCCAAAAACCTCAATATCCATGATTTCTCCCTCTTTCCCTCATTTCTTCTTTTCTGCCATCCTTAATCAGTTCCATCATTCTTCCTTTGTAATCTTACCAATCATCAATTCTTTTCCATTCCTCAAATTACTAACCCAATCAAAGCCCTCTCTAATTTATGCCTGATTGCAATAGCCTTTATTGGCCCCCAAACTGTCTACCAGTCCTTAATCTCTAGGTCTTTCCAATTTATCTTGAAAGAATGCTATCAGATGCATCTTCCTAAAATATAACTTTCATCATTTAGCTCCCCAGCTAGAAAAACTTTTCTAGTTCTATAATCTAGTTCCAACATGCTATCCCACTGATCCCTTCAGTTATCCAGCTAAAATGATTGCTTTAATCCTCACTGAATGATTTCAAATGCCCAATTCCCCCTAGAATGTCTTCTCTTCTGTTCTCCACCTATTCAAATCTTATCCATCTTTCAAAATCCAGTCTAAACTCAACTTCTGAGAAGCCTTCCTTGAACATTCTAATCCTGCTTAAGGATCAACTATGAGCAAATTAATATGATAGAGGTTTGAGATACAAAGGCAAAAAAATTCCTACCCTCAAGAAGCTTACATTCTAATGAGGAAAAGGGGACTACAACATTTAAATAGTTAAGTAAATTGAATGTAATTTGAAATAGGAGATGTTATAAATAGTGAGATAGGGAAGGCTCCATTGGAGGTGACAGGAACTGAATCTTGAAAGAAGATAAGGATTCTAAGAAATAAAAGAGGAAGAAGTGCATTCCAAGCATGGGAGAATAGTTATTACAAAATCATGAAGAAACAGAATTTATACCAAGTACTTGCAACTTAACATACAGTCTTATACTGTTATTGAACTTTACATGTTAAGTTTTAAATCTTGTCTCCCCAATGAGATGGTAAACTCTTTGTAGGATAGGCCCCTATATATTCCACAAGACAATACAGTGTCATAGATACAGTAAGTTGTTAGTATTTGCTGAATGGAGAGGCATGCATACACATATTCTGAGTAATCAGATATGAGAAGTAACAAGGGACCATGGGAAAAAAATCCTGGCTACAATCAAGTTTTAGTCCCAAATCTACCAGTAAATTAGTTTGTCATTTAAAATATACCTATTTTCTCATCTATAAAGTTTTGTGAACTAGGTAATCACTAAGATAACTTGCCAATTCTAAATAAAGGATGCAAAGAAACACACTAAAAGAGATTTTGAACAGGCAATCATAGGGTAAATAAGTGTGTGTGTATTCTATTTCCTAAATACATAAAAATACCTTTGTCTCAAAATCCTTTTCCTTATTTATGAATAAAGTCAACAGTCAACAAGTATAACTTGAATATCTTGAATCTTATAAACCACAGGTAAATATGTCTGTTGCCTATACAAGTTACAAATTTAGTTGATCTAATTATAAGTTTATTTCTCTCTATACACCATATTTGCCTACATATTACTATTTCATTCAACATCTGTCCAAGTTAGGTATTTAAATCCAAAAATCTGTTTTTTTCCCAAGGTCACTAATTCTATGATACTTACCAAAGACAATTATTTTTAGCTCTTCCATTAACAATGGGAAGTAAATTGAAAACATATCAAGGAGAACTTTCTTACCTCTTCATCCTCAAATATATAATATCAATAATTGGAAATGTGAATCTCCAAAGTTCATCAAAACAGGTTTTCCAGAAAAGAAAACAGATTGTGCGAATCACCATCACATCTCTTTGTTCCTCAGAGCTTCTAGACTAATCATTACAGAAAAATTTCTTGTCACAAGAGTATATTTAAATTAGTGCAAACCTATCACCATTGCTCTAAAAATATCTCCAAAAACATGCCCTCCCTACTGATACTAAATCAGTAATATCATCTTCACACCAAAGGACAGAATAGATTCTCAAAATGAGTTCCAATACAACAATGCAGACATTTCTTCTATAAAACAAGCATGAGTCTTAAAAAAAAAAAAATACAATTGAACACACATTCATTCAATACCTCATAGAATTCAAAAAAAATGAAATGAGCTGACATTATAATGGAGTAAAGAAGTACATATTCAAAATAACAGTTAGGGGCAGGTAGGTGGTACAGTGGATAGAGCCCTGGAGTCAAGAAGACCTGAGTTCAAATCCAGCCTCAGACACATAACATTCACTAGCTGTGTGACTCTGGGCAAGTCACTTAACCCCAACTGCCTCACACAAAATAAATAAATGAATGACAGTTATATGACAATATGCAAACACCTTCACTGTCCACCTCCTCCCTCTCTCTCTCATACACACACACACACACACACACACACACACACACACACACACACATATCCATATATAAAGTTTTTCACTACAAAGTAGCAGTTTGGGAGGCAGAACCCTATCTGTTGCAGGAATTAGGAGAATCAAGAAAGGCTTCATGCAGCAGGTACATCTTACAGGGATAGAGAGTCTCCATGAGGCAGAGGTAACAGATTAAGTTCACTACTCTAGGCATAATAACAAAAGACTAGTTGCCACGAATGAGGAACCACGAGAAGAGCAGTAATAGACCAAAGCGGTAAGGTATTCAAGAATATAGGCCAGTACAGAATTGAAATTGCTAACTACCTGGTTAAGTTGAAGAAGGAAGAAAATGAAGTCAGCTATTATTCCTATTTTACAGATGAGGAAACTGAGACAGAGAGAGAAGTTAAGTAATTTATGCAAGGTCACAAAGCTTGTCCGTATCTGAAGCAGGATTTGATCTTAGGTGTTCCTAACTCTTAAGTCCAGGACTCTAACCACTACCACCTAGCTGCTGAATTTATATTCAACTTTGAGAATGCAACACTAAATAAAAAGCCAAAACCCCAAAGTCATGAACATTAAAGCAATGATTAGTATAAGAAAATTGTCCTAGGGGCAGCTAGCTGGCACAGTGGATAGAACACCGGCCCTGCAGTCAGGAGGACCCGAGTTCAAATGCGACCTCAGACCAAACACATGACACTTACTAGCTGTGTGACCTTGGGCAAGTCACTTAACCCCAAATGCCTAAAAAAAAAAATTGTCCTGAATTCAACAGGTATGGAGAATAAATAACAAGCAGTAACAATATGATATATGGAAATGTGGCAACAAAGATCAGAAACACTTAAGAACACACTAAAGCAAATCGATGCAGCATGATTGTGTAAAGAACAAAACAGGCTGGATCTAGGAGAGGTGAGGCTGACTATGAAGAAAAATGGCAAATAATGCCAGGCTCCACATGTGCCAGCTGAAAATCAAAGGCACAGTCTTGAATTGTAAAAAGTATGAAAAACAAATTATTTTGCTTCTTGAAGTCTTTATCATATACACCAACCATGATCACCTCCATCAGTGAATAACTGAATACATTATGTAAAGGCTTACACCAATTGAAACTGAAGTGCTTTGTTTTCATCCAGACCTATGATTCATCATTCATGGAGAAGTCCCACAGGATTGCAATTTAGAGTTACCTAGGGTACACTCTGGATTTAAGTGATATATGTCCATGATCACAGTAGTACCAAATAAGAATGTATATAAAGTATTCTTCAAATCCTGAAGCATTATAGAAGTACTGTTATCAAAGCTTTACATAAAGGCCTATTATTATCATATAACACCAGTAGGACTTAAAAAAGGTCTTCCTAACTCCAAAGCTAAGCCATCAATCTATTATGCCACACTGCCTCTTTCCTTGCTTTATTAATTACATTAAAATAAAAATTTCACATCCCAAACCAGGTAAGTGAAAATGACTTTTCGAGACAGGAGTTGGTTCTTGTTTGGATATTCAGAAGCAATGACTACAAACAAAAGGAAGGTCAGGCATCCCTACAGATGGTTTCACCATCAACATGACTACTGCCTGTCAAGAACTGTCATAGTGCCACAAGTGCAAGAAGACAGGAGCTTTGGGAAAGGTGGTTAACAGTGAGTGAAAAAGAAGAGAATAAGGGGCAGCTAGGCGGTGCAGTGGATTGAGCACCAGTCTTGGATTCAGGAGGACCTGAGTTCAAATCTGGCCTCAGACACATAACACTTACTAGCTGTGTGACCCTGGGCAAGTCACTTAACCCCAATGCCTAACCAAAAAAACAAACAGACAAGAAAAAAAAGAAGAAGAGAATACTCCACCAAAACTTTGGTCCAGTTCCCCCATGGTCTAACCTGTTGGTTTATAATCATCAATCTCATTCTCACTTTCCAGAGTTGTTTCTAATAAAGTCATTAACAATAAAATCAAATTCAACATGTTTTAAGAAAACACTCAACATAGAGTTGAGAGAAATTTTCAAAGAGATTCATGTACTAATTGCACCCATAGCTTTAAAAATTTATTATAAGAATATACCAAGCTTCCTCTCTTCTTATTTTAAGCTTTTAAAACAAAGAAGACAACCACTCTAAAAGAAAAATATCTCTTCAAAAGTCTTTTTAGGAATTAAAACTGAAAATACCAAATGTAACATATGCATATTTATCAATGTTTTAGGTATAGTGTTCATATATAAGATCTCAGATATTCTGATTTATACTTATGTACTTTCTAATAAATTTTAAAATCATTTTAAATAAAAAAACTCAGAGAAAGTGATATTTACCAACTATCTTATTTAGACCAAATAACAGTTGCCAACAAAACAACTAACAATTTTAAAAGCACTTACCTCATTTCCATGTTTTTGGAGAAATTCAATTTCCTGTTGTGTGAATGTCGTCATAGAGATGGATTTCACCCTATGTGGTGGATTTAAACCTCGCCTAAAAAATAAAATATGTTTAAACATTTTTTTTAAACACACACATTGCCTACTATGTGCAAGATATGATATAGCTGGCATAGTATGGCGAAATGCCATGTATTTCTAATATCCATAAACTTAAACATCACAACGTTTTAAGTATCTTAGTATTTATGCTTAAATTAGTACAATTTTTTTATTCCAACATCACTTTAAATGACATAATTCTCACAATCTCTATGCAAGGGCAAGTTTAGGGAATGAGTATCATGAATCTAAATCTGAATGACTTTTAGAAATCTGTGACAGAAACTTTACTCAAAATACTACTAATTGTATTTTAATAATAAATAATGATAATGATAATGATGATGATAAACAGCTAACATTTATATAGAGCTTAATATGTGCCATTACTTTACAATTATCATCTCATTTGATCCTTACAACCACCATGGGACGTAAATGCTATTATTATTCCCATTTTACAGATGAAGGAATCGAGAGGCTAAGTAAGTGACTTGTCCAGGGTTACACATCTAGTAAGTGTCTGAGCCTGTTCCAAATTCCAGGCCCAGCCCACTATACTACACTAATGCTACACTTCACTGCTTTTTAAAGTAAAAAATAATAATATGAAGGCTATATTTTACAAAAGCAACATGGAACATTAGTCACTTTAAATATTCTGGTATCTTTCTAAAGCCTCATATAAGATGTTAGGCATGTAGCTTTGAGATTTTAACAAGTGGCTCCTACTTTTTATATAAGGGCTTTAAGAACTTAAAAGAAAGTAAGAGATAATTTGTACTAATTTCTACATTCTATAAAAATTAACAAAAAAAAAATTACCAAGAAAAACAAGACCTACTAAAATGTCTGAAAGCCATGAAATCTTAAATAAGAATATTTATTATATAAGATGGTCTTCAAAAGTACTTCATATCAGGATCAAGTATACTATACATCAAAAATTAAAGCTATCTACCTAGTAATAATATCAACAATTTATGAAAATCTCATCCAAAACAATATTAAAGGAATCTACACTGCCTACAAAAATAAAAGCTGTCAAAAAGAACACTGAAATAATCTATGCAAAATTTATCTCTGAAATGACTTCAAAATTACATCCTGGCAAATTCCAGGTTCTGGAGTAGATTCTTAACATTCAAGTGGGTATACGTTAAAGTCAGCTCTCAATGATCCACACTAATGAAGGGTGGTGGTGGCACTGATTTATCCAAAATAGTGAAGGTTACACAAAGCAGATTTGCACAAATGAATATGGCTGTTTCTCTCAAGAGAGCATATAAAACCCCAGAAATTCAAAATGGGGAAGCCATAATTAACACTAGCAAATTATTTGGAAAGCTATTCAAACTTCCAACTTTGTCCCAATGCATCACTCATCCCCTCCCCCATGGCTAAACCTGCCCTTCCCCCAACATTTTATGGAAGGGAAAGACAATAAGACTTAAAGCTCAAACACTGCCTCATACAAGAAAACTAAGGTGAAGTGACCCAGCCATGGACACATATCAGGAGTAATGACAGACCCACAATTCAGTCCGTCCCTCTGATTCCAAGTCTGCTGTAGGTACCACGTTCCCAGTTCTTTGTCCAAGCACTCTTTAATGTGGCTGGCTAGGAACTTGTGAGGTAAGAAAGGTCTTGCTTTTATTTCCTAGTGGCTGGAAAAAGGAGATGAGCAGATCCTTAGAAAGAGTCCAGAAGGATTTCCTAAGGAAGGCTCAGAGAAAACTGAAATCATTTGAAAAAAGTGAGCCATACTGGGAGAGAAGGGAATCTGAAGACCTGCTGGTGACTGTCTCCTCCTCACAAATGCCTGAAGGGAGACAGAATCTTTTTTAATTGGTTAATAAATTAATAAATTGTTTATCTCTAAAGTCCCTCCTCATTTTATCTCGTTGAGCCCAGTCGGATTCAGAGATAGCCCTGTTACAATTCGGTTTCCAAAGCACTTTCACATAGATTCTCTCATCTGTGCCCCCACAGTACCTATATGAATTGGTAGAGTATCTTGTTACAGGATAAAAGCAAGACCCAAATAAGTAATTTATGTAAAGTCACAGAGTTAATTTATGTAATCCAAAATTTTGGGTGCAATCTTAAATTAGATCCTGGCTTGAGCTTGGCAGTCCAAATATCTCCTCTCAACTCATAAAACTGAGCCACTTAGTAACAAGGTTTTAGTGGCATTTACAGAAATAAAGGCATTCCCAACTCTGAGAGACTATATCCGTAAAATATGAGTCATGAATTAAAATGATCTCTAAGGGCCCCTTCTAGCTCAAAAAAATTATAATTTATATAAAATAGAACATGCTTCATTATCAAACAACTTAATCTATTAAATGGGAATATATAATACTGGAAGGTTTAATTATACTAACGAACTAACAGAATTCAGAATAAAAAAATAGCATGGTCTAAATAATACTTTAGTAGTGATTCTGGCAGTACTTGTGAATTTTTAAATGATCTAAGCTTAATGATTAAGGTTTTAGAAAGATCTAAAATTCAGCTAAGGTAACAAATCTTAGACCTTTCCAAAATTCACAGCTGGAAGTAGACAAGTTTGATGAAATCTCACAGTTTGCATAAAGATGAAGAACAAAGCAAGCTTTCCTTACTCCCAAAGAGCCTAGCAGCTTTGGCCTCTTATCATCAGCTTGAGGGGTAGAAAACATTATAATACTTATAAGCATTGCAGATCTCCAAACTTCAGCAATAAGTTTCAAGACACCAAAATTTTCATGCTCTCACTTTCTACTATACCATACTGAACAAAAATTATATTACATAGCTAAAAATGACCATCAGACAGCGCTCACCCACTCCCCAATCCTTTGACCTCCCACTACTCCCAATGAAAAAAAAACAGTAAGCCTAGCTACCACCATGAAAGTGATCAGAACTCTAATCCCCCCATATTTCTACTCTCCTTCCTCACATACTGATATCAGTACAAAATAGGGGAAAAGATCAATAAACAACAACATTAGGGATATGGTACTAATAGAGAATCAAACTCTTGCTCCACTAGTCTCATATAATTCAGGAAGAAAAGACCATCCGCTGGCTGTTTCTTGCAGCTGCTCCAAAGTCCAGAAGTAAGTTTTTTTAAATCTCTTTTTTATGAAGGCAAGTTTTTATAATATCGTACAAGCAGGGGTGTGGTGAAACTTGCTTGAAATGAGCCAACTATTAAATTTTTCAGTGAGCACATTTACACAATAGAAATCAGCAAGTGCTATAAATCAAAGCTTGATTTATTGTTTATTGTCTATTAAATTGATGGAGAAAATGTTAATCATGCAGTTTAAACTTAAAAATGTTCCCTATATATTTTTCCAGAGTGCTGACTGTTAAACATTTACCAGCACACCACTGCATACAAGTGTCTTATGGGACAACATAACAGAATCAGTGTCTTATTTTTTTCATTGTCAAGACATCTCTATACAGAAAACTGCAATAAAATAAACTATATCTACAGACTACACATGCATTTCCCAAAGTATAAACTACTTGTGTTGGGAAAGCTCATTTAACTGGAACTCAGAATGAATTTTCCCATAGAAATAGTATTAATACACAACAGCCATTATAGCTAAACCTATGGTAATAATAATAATCATACTAACCTGAGTCTTAAGAACAGGAGCTTGGAAATTAAAGAATGAGGAACAAGAGAAATAAATGTCTTTTGCTTTCCAAAATACAGAATGGGTAGGTCTATCTCCTATTTATCTCCCCTCCTATCTGAGCTCTCAGTTGCCAAACACTGTCCTCAACATTACTACCCACCCTAGGCCTGCCCAATAACCTGAAGTACTCCATGCTCCAAAATAACCTACCTCTTCTCCTCTTGATTAAAATTCTCATCCCTGGCTGCAAGTGAACTCAGCTAAAACATTAGGGGAAAATAAGTACCAATGTCTTAACAATGTTTTTTTTAAAAGATTTCCCATTAGCCCAAAAAAACCTTGGTAAAATTTCCGGCAGGAAAATAGAGTGGGAAAAAATTCAGAAATACAAAGAAAGGGAGGAGGAAAAATGGCAGGGGTACCACTACATAAGCAAGAGCTAGTTTACCTGACTGCCCCAAGGTCAGGACCCACAAACTCAAACAGCTTCTTTATTTCTTCAACTTAGAATTCAGAGTCTCTTAAGTAGTTGGGGTTTTTTTTTCCACAATGGCTCCCACAGTAACCAGCCATTGTCTTCCTCCTCTCTCTAAGATAGGATTGGGAGTGAAGGGTGGCCAATCTCTTATAAACCACATTTGAGTGGAATTTATAAGTCAGAGGCTGCCCAGACTATTCTTTTTAAAATGCTGAAGGAAAAATCCCATAAATAATTCCTTACTTCAATATTTCAGGTATCCATGATTACATCAACATAAGTACTCCCCCTTCCACCAAAGCATATCAAAACCTCCATACCTTAATAAAGCACTTCCTTCCATCCTTGGAACTGAAAAAAATAAAATCATCTTGTGACCAACCTTCAGAATATAGCTAAGTTAGTCCTCAGTTAACAGCCTGGCTGGCTAACACTTGGGCCTAAGTAAAATCTGTAAAAGCACTGTTCTTTCGGAACAGAAGGACATCTCTCCATGCCAGGACCAAAACTTGAATTAAATTGTAAACATAGAGGGAGTTAAGTTTTCACAGTTAACCTTCCATGTATGAATACTGACATTACAAATAAAATGTCTCTCAATTGTTAAAAGTCACCAATTCTTATTTATTTATTTATTTTTAGTAAGGCAATCGGGGTTAAGTGACTTGCCCAGGGTCACACAGCTAGTATGGTCAAATGTTTGATCTGAGGCCGTATTTGAACTCAGGTGCCCTTGACTTCAGGGCCCGTGCTCTATCCACTGCGCCACCTAGCTGCCCCTCAAGAATTCTTCAAAAAAAATATTTTAGGTTCTCATTTCAATCTGAGAATCTTAGGAATCTTCAGATTTTTTTTCCTTAAACCACC